GAATATGAATTAAACACATTATCAATTTCCAATTTTTGTACTGAATTTACTGCTTCTGCTATTTTTCCAGGATGAAACCCAGTCCAGACCGGGAAATTAATACTATCAGCTACATAATCTTTCGAAGTTAAAATAGTAGTGTTCATTTTTGTATTAATAGATATTTGTTTGTAAATGAGTTAAAATGAGTTGAAAAAAAGAAGATTAAAAGTTTGTTAAATCCTTTTTTTTTTACGCGAGAAATTTTTATTTTATAACAATAATAAAATTAAAAAATATCCTGCTTTCGCGCGAATTAGCCAATCAGAATTTTGTATCCAAATAAATTGGCACCTTTTGATTTTTTTCTTCAACATAAAAAATGAAATTATTTTCAAATAGCATTATTATAAAAAATTCGCTAAAAAATTTAAATAATAATTCGTTAATTCAATTTCGAAAGCTACATAATAAATTAAAAGAATGTTATATAGAAAACTTACAAGATGACGATAAAGGTAATAAAAAATACACTCATCATTAACAAATAAAGATGGTTCTCGATTAATTGTGGCATATAAAAATTGAATTGCGGTTGCGGTTACGACATATGAAAATTGAATTAATAAAGTATTAATTTACCAGCTAATTTTCATTTTTTCATTATTTCAGGGATTTCGATTATAAATTTTGATAGATCAACTGCTAAAAATGCATTATCCAGGAGATTTGTATCCGAACTTGGCGAATCAATTGATGAATTAAAACAAGAAAAGTTTGTTTATTTTAATACTTTATTTGAAGTTAATTTATATAAAATCTATAGATTGATTGATTTCTTGATTTCTTTGGACTATTGTTACTTACTGTATGTAGGAATTTACGAGTAGTTCTATTAAGAAGTTTGGTTGATCGAACATTTTGTTCGGGTGCAGATTTAAAAGTATATATATATATATAAATATATATAAATATATAAATATTCACATTCATTTATTTGATCACCTAATAATAAACAAATATAATTTATTTGAATATAGGAACGTGTAGAGATGTCATCAAATGACGTAAAATCATTTTTACAAAACCTTCGTTTTATATTTCGAGAGATCGAAGTCGGTAAAATTTTTTTTTACTCTTTCAATAATTAATAAAATCAAAGTAGAAAATCCATATACACACGCCAATCTAATGAAAATAAAAAAACTTTAATTATTTAATTAATTAGACACTTTCAGTTCCAACTATTGCTGTTATTGACGGTGTAGCATTAGGAGGTGGATTAGAATTAGCTTTATGTTGCGATATTAGAGTAGCAGGTTAAAAAATGAGAAAAAATCTTTATTGTTATAATTAGGCGTGGATAATAATTTTGATATTTAAAATTATTATTATTATTATTACTATTATTAGGGGAAAATGCTAAAATTGGGTTACCAGAAACCAAACTTGCTATAATTCCAGGGTAATTGTTCAAATCAATATATATTAAAAATATAACCAAAAAGGTTTAATATGAAAATTAAATGTAATATTGTTTTTTTTCTAATTGTCTAATTAATTAGTGCTGGCGGGACTCAACGACTAATAAGAACTATTGGAATTTCAAAAGCTAAAGAATTAATATTCACTGGTAAAATATTAAATGCTCAAGATGCATTATCATACGGTACAGTAAATTCATTTATTTTAATACACTTCTTATAGAAAGAAGATTTTTAATTTCTAATTCTATCTGTTATTTTTAATTTTTTGGGATAATTATTAGGAATTGTAAATCATATAGCAAAGCAGGGATCATCATATTCTATTGCCATGGGTTTAGCAAGGGATATGTTATCATGTGGTAATTTAATATCACAATTATTTATATATCTGAATATATGAACAATGATATCTAATACACATATATGTAATAAAAGGCCCTATTGCAATTAAAATGGCAAAATTGGCTATTGATAATGGTATTCAATGTGATTTGTAAGTTTTTTTCTAGCTCATCTTCTCCTTTTGAAGCATTCCTTTCTTTCTCTTTCCTTTTATCTTAACCAATCAATCAATCATTAATTAATATAATATAGGGAATCTGCATTGGATTTTGAACATTCATGTTATGAACAATTAATTCCAACAGAAGATCGAATTGAAGGTAAATCGATTAAACAAAGAAACAAATTTATTATTACTGGTAATAATAGAATTTTTATGATTTTATTTAGGATTAAGAGCTTTCAAAGAAAAACGAAACCCTATCTATAAAGGACAGTAATCAATGCAACAATAACAATAAATTATCAATAATATTATAGTTTAGAAGTAGTGGCATAGGTGGTGAGGAGATTAAGAAATAGAGGTTGGTAGTGTATCTTTTGGCCATATAAAATATTTAATAGGATTAGAAGAAATATCCAAAGTATTTTGAGTTGTCATTGTGCTTGTTGTTGCACAGGGTATACTATTTGCCGATGAAAAATTTTGTCGTAAAATATTCATATCAATATTGTTTGGATCTAGTTCAAAACTACGAACTATCTTAATTATAATATAACATGATTCTTGAGATAATATATATATAATATTGAAAAAAAAAATGATTAGTAGAGATTAAAAAAAAACAAGGATGATGATGGTGATGTTGATGAATAAAAATTTTTTTATTAAAAATATATATACCGGTCCAAGCAGACTGTGAAATGTCTATGTGAGTTTTTAATTGATATTGATAGGTTTTCGTAGGAAAGAATTCGGCGGGTGATGTTCGAAAATTTAAAATACTTTGATCAGGAAGAGTAACCTACACAACAATAAATATATGTATTTTATTTTATATCCTATTTCATGTTTTATTTATTACACTTAGTGTATAAATAAGTACCTGAATTGAAATAGTAGTTATATCATCTAAGTCAAAAAGATCAGCCTCTATATGAACAGTTAATGGAAATTGACGGTCAAATTCTACTGGTTTTTTATTGGAAGTTGGTCGAGTAATAATTGCTTCTGGTTTTATTAAAGAATTTCGAGGATTTATATCAAGTAATTGAAAATTCTAATAATAATTATATAGTATGCGTATTTATGAGTATAAAGAATCAATTATTACTTGTTATTATTATGTTGTACCTTAATATAATCAAATAATAAAGAAATGATAGCATTCATTTCAATCGGAGGTTTATTTAAATTGTCAAGAAGATAGTTTAATTCATGATTATTTTGTTCAAATAGTCTACAACGGCAAGAAGAATGAATATATAGAAAAGAAAAGAAAAAATTATTTAGTTTGATAATTTTTTTTTTTTGATTTCTCAAAAGATTAATATTTGTTCGATTGAATCATTAAATTGTACCTTGCTATATCAGTTCCTCGTTTGATAAATAAATTCAAAGGATCCTGATTATTCAATGCCGAATTACTATTACTTTTAATAAATAATAATAGTAAATAAATGAATTGATCGATTATTTGGATTAGGTGATCAATCAAAAAAATTTACCTATCAACATTTTTTAGATTGCCAATCAACCAAACAATATAAGCAATTATCCTCATATTATAAATAAATTTTTTATTGTGTAATTCTAAAAATCCATGTTCAATCGAATAAGATATTTTCAATAAATTCGCTCCTATGTCCGATGTTTTTAACATAAAACTTGGCACTAAATAATTTTGTTTGATCTACAAAAAAACATTATAAATAAATAGATTTATTTTTGAATATTAAATTTGTATATATGTATATATGTATATAGAGGGAAAGATTGATTACCTGTATTAAAACTTTCACGTATTCTAAATACATTAAACAAAACTTTGCTTGTCCAGAGAACAACGTCATATTTGACAAATATTCCAAATTACTATATATATATTTATTTATTTATTTATTTATATTTAAAATAATAATAATACTAAATAAATTATTTTTTAGAATATGAAATTTCAATTGATCAATTGATAATTTACCTTGTACAAACTTTAATAACCCTCATTGAAGATCTGAAATCTTTTATTTTAAAAAGTCTTTTTAACATTAAAATATTATCAATGGTGTGTTGCATAAGCAAATGTGTTTTATCTAATTATTCCATATACAAACAAATATAATGATCCCATTAATAAATCAACACTAAAAATAATAAATCATAAATTCACTTACCATCAGTATCTATCTGAATATTTTGTTTATTTTCATTTCCCGGCATCTATAAAAAAATTATTTTTTAAAGAAAAAAAATAATTAATGATTTAAATATTCGTCAATCTAAAGTTGTTCATCAATATATAGAATACAAATGTAATTTGTGCCTTCAAGTCTGGAAAACAATTTGGAAATTTATCTCTAAGATATTCATAGTGCCGGGGTGCGTATTTCGGTAACAAAGATATTATCTTGTCATTTATGACAGATGCATTAAATGCTAAAATTAAATTTCCAATATCTACAATGAAAAAATCAAAAAACAAAAAAGATTTAAAGATAATTTTTATATGTCTCTATTAATCAGCGATGTAGCAGTAAAAGATTTAGAGAACATAGAGAAGGATACGTTCTGGTGAATTTTGATTAATCTCTTTTGAAATGTAATAACTTTCTTGCATTCCAAAAAATTTAGGTATAAATTGTTCTAAATAATATATATATTAAAAAGTGCATTTATTTAGTAAAGTATTAATAAATAGATGACTATATAAATATAAATATAACCAAGTAAATAAATATGTGTATATGTATATATGTATAAATTTTTTTTTTACCAATATAATCGCTATGTTTAGTGCCAAAATCTCTAAAACATTCATAAATTGATAATTGATCTTCGGGATATATTGACATGTTCTTAATCAATGTTTGAGTAAATATCAACGTCAAATCTGATACTTTCAATCTTATAACACTATAAAAACAAATAATATATACATAGTCAATAAGTGAATACTTAAATATAAATTATATATAATTATAATAATAAATTTGTTGATTAACCCTAGCATTCTGTGAGTTGACACTCTAACAACAGGGTCTGAATCGTTGAGTACACTAAGTACAATTTGTAATAATTCTGAATCTAATTCAATTGGATTATTTTCTCCTATTTGTTTTAGGCTGTTAATTGATTTCAATCGCACTGAATCAATCTCATCTTGAAACATGTCTAAAAAAAATTATTGATTTTGTTATTTTGTTGCTGTTGTTGATATTTCAAGTAATTGTGAATTTAATAAAAAGCAATATGAGAAAGATTCAAATTACCTACAAGGAACTCAACAGCTCTTTTAGCAAATACTTGGTTATTCATAGACAATTCACGTATAGAATCTACAAAAGGTTTTTATATATATGCAAGCATTTATAGGTAGATAGATACATGGTTAACAAATATAATGATTTATTCATCTTAATTTTTGCCATCGCCATCATCGTTGCAATTATCAACAGCGAAAAAATTCTTTTTTCACAAACCAATTGCAGCTTTTCGAACATCTTGATATGCGTCTTCTAGACCATGAATAAATGCACCCGATGCACTTGATTTAAGAAGTCGTAATTCTAATGATTCCACATCAATGTCACCTTCAGGGTTAGGAATATACCTTCCCTACAATTTAAAATTAAATATATAACATTATCAATAAAAAAAAATAATAGTTTTAACAGAAAAAAAAGAATATATCTTAAGGACATTACTTTCTTTGGTTTATTGTGTCCAACTTTTTTAGATTTTCCAGAATGAGTAATGACTTGTTGACTTAAAGTTTGTAAAAGAACATTAACATCTACGTCTAGACAAAGTCCCATAAGTTTACACGCCTTTCAAATATAAATACGAATATATTGATGTAAACGTATTATCACCATTATCACCTTCCACAAATAATAATGATAATAGCAATAATCTTATATTTTCAAAATTAAATATTTTTACCTTACTTCGAACTTTCACCGAAACGTCGTATACCATATCGCATACTTTAATAAATGCATCATCTATTAACCTTATCGATTGAGATGGTCCATCTTCCATCGAACTTTGGGGGTATATTGTACTAAACAACCTAATAATAATAATAATAATAATAATAATAATAATTTTTTAAAAAATAAGTATTTATTAAAGAACATATATTATGATAATAACTAATTTCCTACCATATTAAGTTTAATGCTTCTATTCTAACTTCTTCATAATCATCAGCTAAGCATGAAACGCTTAAATTATACAATGATATATCAAGTTTATATCCATATTCATTAAGTTGAAGTAATGCTTTAAGTGCAGCCTATTATTATTATCGGTTTTATTTCCCCCAAAAATTTTTTTAAATATCAAATTATAAATCGAATAATTAATAATAAATACATCTGGTATTGTTAATAATACGTACACTTCTAACTCTAGGATCTGGATCATTACCAAAATTTTTAATGATTTTTTGAATTTCTGATTCGTTTAGATTTGGCAACATTATATTATTACCACCAGAAACTTCAGCATTGATTTCGTCAACAATAACATTATCATCATTATCAATCATCATCATTGTCGTTTCAGTTCTATTTATTAAAGGTAACAATGAAGATAGTAGACTTATACATACAGATCTTAAACTATAATGTGAGTCGGTTAAATCATTGATTGCATGTACACCAAAAGACTTGAGTTTACTTAATAAAGATGATGAAATATTCAAATTTTCATTCTAAATATAAACAAAGTGTTATTACAAATATGTTTTCAGAACAATCAAAGAAACAAAATGATAAAGAGAGCGATAAATACCTTCAAGTTATTAAGCACTAAATCATAAACACGACATTTCAATTCTGTAGAATCTGATTGAACCTTTAATTATTATTATTATTATTAATGAACGAAAAAAATTGTTACATTAATGAATCATAAAATTATCTATTGATTTTTTTTTTTTTTTTTTGAGAGAAGAAATACCTGATTCATTAAATCGGTAAGAATTATTTCGAAACATGTTGAAGAGTCATATGCTAAATTATCCAAAATCATTATCACAAGAATCTTAACATCTTTCACTTCTTGGCCCTGGTCATTGGAATCAATCAATCGTCTAAGTTTTTCCAAAAGTTTTGATCTTGTTGAATTATCCAAATATGGAAGTAATCTTAAAAAGCGATGTAATGCCTAAAATATGTAGGTGATTTGTTTTATATATATATTGATGATTTGTACGAGTCAAATTAAATTGAAAGTATTGTCATTGTTATTATAATATACTTGCGTGAATTTTGACTTGTAAATCTGGTGAATATAATTCTTCTAGATTTAACTTTTAAAAATTATTTAACGGTAATGAATGTCAGTATTAATATAATAAATCCGGAAGAAAAAAATACCTAATAATGTATAGTAATGCATGCATAATCAAACCTCTTTTTCGTTCAAAGAAACTTTTATTAATGAAAGTTCGTCATATACACTCATGTTTAGTTTTAGTATTATTGAGAATTATTTGATTAAAATGTGATCATATGAAATTTGAGCAAATAGACATGATTAAAAAAAAAACCAAAAATACGTATCATAAGCACACTTGGCAATATCAATTATTAAATTAAACTCATACATAGCTAATACACTAATTAATAATATAACAATAATAATTATAATAATTATAATAATTATAATATAATAAGTACAGATTCATTAATGATATATGTCATTTCTTTCTTTATGTGGGGCCATATTTTCATCAATTAAAACCCACTTGCAATTATAATTCTTTCGCACAATATTAAGCTAATATTCTATGTAACCATCATCTTCATCATCTTCATCGTCGTCATCTTCATCCATATATTCACCATCCTCCACCTCATCATCATCACTAACCGATTTTTTTGGTAAATTGTTTTCTACCACTACTTCCGTTTCCTCATTTTCATCTTCCATCACCTCATCATCATCATCGTCGTCCTCTTCTTCTTCTACATAATCATCATGATTACTATTACTTCCACTATAACTATCAATAAATCCTTCATATACATCATCTTTAAGTTCTTCTTCGCCACCACCATCACCGCCATTATCATCAAATTCATCTTCTTCCTCAAATTCATCTTCTTTCTCACCACCGCCACCATCACCAAACAAATCTTCAGCTGTAACTGATTCATCAGCTAGATTACCAATATTTGATGTGAATAATCCACCTTTAGGGTCATCTTTTTTCCTTAAATGTTCACTGAGATCACGATTCATTGTAAAACTGTGTATTCTGTCCTTTTTAAAAATTTTCCATAAATTGTCGTCACAGATTATAAACCTTTTGTCATCCGGATCTTGTAGATCATTGTTTTTAATATAATCCCATAAATTTCTTACAACATCAGGTCTTGACATCTATAAAGCAATTTTAATGAATTAATAATCTTGGAAAAAATAAAGATATATAAAATCATTAAAGCTTACCTCATCAGCACGCAATACTTTAGCTAGAACAGGACTCAAGAATAGCGGTTTATAAATTCCAGTATTACCTTTCTTTTTCTTCTTTTTTATTTCAACATCCTCCTCTATCTCTTCTTCATCTTTCTTTTTGCCTTTAATTGATTTCTTTTTATTAGTAGTGGTAGTGGTGGCGGTGGTGGTGGTGGCGGTAGTGGTGGTGGTGGTGGTAGTAGTAGTAGTATTATTATTATTGTTATTGTTATTATTATTGTTATTATTATTGTTATTATTATTATTATTATTATTATTATTATTATTATTATTATTATTATTATTATTATTATTATTATTATTATTATTAGGATTTGAATTAGATGATGATGGTGGTGCAGTGGCAGTGGAAGTAATTTTAGAAGATGTGTTATTTTTAGTTTTTTGCTTTTTTATTAAAAATTCTTCTTTGAATTTTCTTTCGATATCAGAGAAAACTTCATCTTTAACTTTTTTCTTTCTGCCACGTTTCTTTTTTACGGGACTAATTGGAACAGATTCGTCTTCTAATGACGAGTAATCAGACGCATTTACCTGTGAAGTTTGTTGTGGTTGTGGTAACTGCGAGGTACTAATTGATGAAGATGATGCTTTGGTTGTAGTTGAAGAAGATTTGGTGTCCTTATTATTATCTTTATTTAATGATTTTGGAGGTCTGCCTTTTGGTTTTGAACCCTTTTTGGTTGGTTTTGGTTGTGTAGTTGACTTTGATTGTTTTTTTGTGAGATTTTTCTTGGTTGGTGTTCCAACTTCTTGTGGTTGTTCTAATATTAAATCTTCATTATTTAATGTTTCTTCATCACCAATGTCTAAATCGTTAAAACATTTTTCAACAAGTTGACGTATTTCTTTTCTCCGAGGTTTAAGGTCTATTTTATGAATTTCTTGTAATTTCAACCTTACATCTTTTGCAGTTAGTTCGCGAAGGTTAGCATCTTTGAATATACTCTTAATATTTGGAATAAAAGTTGTAATCTCCATGTCTGCCATAACTACTAATAACTAATGATGGTAAGGATAATGTAGATAATCAATGAGATGAATGTAATTTAATTTAACGTAAGAGTAAAACAAAATATAATTTTGTGCGACGTTTTTTCATTTAAAAAAGGAAACTTTTTTTGGGGTTTTTCGAAAAAAAAGGAAATTTTAGGTATTACAAAAATGTATTAAACAATCGTTAAGCGCCGCCAAAAAATTTTTTAAATGAATAGAAGTTTTATTTATAAAGAAAGATGCAAACCAAAAAGGAAACCTGATTCAGTTGGTTTACCCTAATTATTGACCTATTATTTTTATTATTATTATGATAATGATAATTTTGTTTAGTTTGATTGTTCATACTGGCTGGCTAATTGAATTAATATCAACTATTTATTATTTAACAGTTTAATAAAATAATAAATTTCTTGACATTTTAAATAAAAAGAAATATAAAATAAAGGCTGTAGAGTATCAAAAAAAAAAAAAAAAATCAGCTAAATCATCATGTTTTCGATTTTTATCCATATGCTTTATTAAAACTGTCTCTTCCACCGAAAATGTGATAAGCGGATGCGCTCTATATAAATCAAGGCCAACCAGTTTGGCAAAGGGTTTTTTAATGTTTATAACGTGATCGACTTTTGGGAAAAGCACATTGGCTTATTTTTGTAGGTTGATATGTGTAGAGAACAATATAGAATATGTATGTAATAATAATTGGTGATTTTTTTTAAAAAAAGCTCAAGGTGGAAAACCCAATATAGAGTTGATGTATGCTGAGTCCTCACACATTGTCTGCAGTAATTCAAAAAAAGCTGATGATGAAGTGAAATTATGGAGAAACATTAGATGGGGCAAGTTTTATAGGTTTATTGTGCAGACCAGCTAGTAATCAATTTAGAGTTGTAGGGATTCAAGTTTCTGGTACGTTCATGCAATTAAATATTCTTGTAAATAGTGATGGGAATTTTTAACCCTACACTTAATAACTCCAAGTTATTAATAGTTAATAACCACTTATTAACTGTTGC